GGGACCGGCAACGGGATTGCAAACCTCGGCGTTGCTCCCGCACCTCGCTCAACCAGTGAGTGGGAACCGGTCTGTATGTGGGATCCGAACCCTCGGGCGGGAGCGCCGCCACGCTTCCCAAGCGGCGCACTATCCAGTGCGCCACCGGGCCGGCCCCCCGTGTGTTTGTTTTTATGTCAGTACCATGCTGTTTTGGTTAGTATAATTGGAGTTTTGTAGTATAATTGGAACCAAGTAGTGTATTTCCTCTGGCTTTATTTATTTATTTATTTATTTATTGCTCAGGATTGCTTTGGCTCTGCAGTGTCTTGTTACATATGAATGTTAGGATTTTTTTTTTTTTAATTTCTGTGAAGAATGTCATTGGTACTTTGGGGATTGCATAGAATCTGTAGATCACTTTGGGTAGTATGGACATTTTCAAAACGTTAATTCTTCCAATCTAAGAGCATGAAATGTCTTTCTATCTTTTTGTGTCCTCTTTAGTTTCTTTCAGCAGTGATTTGTAGTTCTCATTGTAAGGATCTTTCACTTGGTTAAATTTATTTCCAGGTATTTTATTTTTTTGGTAGCTGTTGTAAATGGGCTTGATTTCTTTTTCTGTTAGTTTGTTGTTGGAATAGAAAAATTCTACTGATTTTCATGTATTGATTTTGTATCCTGCAACTCTACTGAATATGTTTTTCAGCTCTAAGAGTTTTTTGGTGGAGTCTTTAGGTTTTTCTATGTATAGGATTATGTCATCTGCAAACAGAGTCAGTTTGACTTCATCTTTTCCAATCTGGATGCCCTTCATTTCTTTTTCTTGTCTGATTGTTCTGGCAAGTACTTCCAATACTATATTAAATAGGAGTGGTGAGAGTTGGTATCCTTGTCGTGTTCCTGTTCTTAAAGGAAAAGCTTTCAGCTTTTCCCTGTTCAGGATGATATTGGTGGTGGGTTTGTCATATATAGCTTGTATTGTGTTGAGATGCTTTTCTTCTATGTCTAATTTGTTCAGAGTCTTTGTTATGAAGGTATGTTGAGTCTTGTCATATGCTTTTTCTGTGTCTTTTGAGATGATCATATGGTTTTTTGACCTTGATTTTGTCAATGTGGTGTATCACATTTATTGATTTGTGTATGTTGAACTATCCTTGCATCCCTGAGATGAATCCCACTTGGTCATGATGTGTAATCTTTTTGATGTGCTGCTGTATTCTGTTTGCACATATATCTTTGAAGATTCTTATGTTCATCAAGGATATTGACCTGTAGTTTTCTTTCTTTGTTGTATCTTTGTCTGGTTTTGGTATCAGGCTGATGCTGGCCTCATAGACTGAGTTCAGGAGAATGGCCTCTGTTTCAATTTTTTGGAATAGTTTGAAAAGGATTGGTATTAATTTTTCCTTAAACATTTAGTAGAATTCAGTGGTGAAGCCGTCTGGTCCTGGTCTGTTTATTGGGAGACTGCTGATTACTGCTTCAGTCATGTTGCTTATTAATTAGCCTGTTCATGTTTTCTATTACCTTTTGATTCAGTCTTGGTAGTTTGTATATGTCTAGAAATTTATCATTTCCTCCACATTTTCAAATTTGTTGGCATATAGATGTTCATAATAGTCTCTAATGTTTCTTTGTGGTATTGGTTTCTGTAGTATTGGTTTAATGTCTCCTTTTTCATTTCTGATTTTTATGTGGGTTTTCTCTCTTCTTTTTTTAAACTAGCTAATGGCTTTTCTATTTTGTTTTTCCTCAAAAAAAAACCTTTTTGAAAAATAAAAAACTGTTAGCTTTATTTCAGTTCACCCCATCAGTTTTATTTTTTAATCTGCTTCACAAAATTTAAGTCTGAGAACACACTGCTTTATATATTTAAACTGTGTCTTAATTTTCTGAAAATTTTTGAAATCTGAAATAAAGTTTATAAATGAAATCAACATAATGTTTCTAACTCCAAAACACTTTTTATTTTAGATGAAGATAGGCTTTCTAGAAGAAAAAGTATTGTGGACACTGTGTCCATTCAGGTGGATATTTTACCGAACAGCATTCCTTCTGATGATGTGGTAAGTTGATAAAAGTTTATGGTAGAGTGCTGTCTTGAGATAGATATCATTTAAAAGAATTTTTTGCCCTCTACACTTTGGAACAGGAGAAAATACAACTCTAAATTATCCCCAAATCAACTAAATTGTTAGTAGAAATTAATCTGATTTAGCCTTGAACTTATAGTTTATTTTACTGAACTCATTTTAGCTGTTTACAAAGATACATAAACTTAACATTTTATGTTATGATATTGTTAGATTTCACATTGTAATTCATTATAATAAAAGATACTGTAAAACAATATTAAGTGAGATTCTTTTTTCCAATTAAGAAATGTTATACAAGGCCTGTTATTATATTATTAGGCCTTCTAGATTCTGGTTTTTTTTTTTTAGATTTATGAAACATAAGTTTACAGGAATAAATGGAACTATACACTCTCATGCAAGCCAAATGCTCACTGCCTTTAGAAATTTTTGAAACTTAACCTGTAAGGGAAAAATTTTTATCATGTTGGATAGTGAATATAATGAATTGAATGTAGCTGAAGCTGTGTCAGTGAACTATGTACTCTTTAAAGACTGTGGCTTATTTGATACATCACAGATTTAATGCTCTCCTCCTGTTTTAATAGAGCACAAGAGTATACCCTCCTGAGTTAATAGGAAGAAAAAGCAGCCAGTATTCCCTAGGACATACTCCACACAAATCAGCAGAGAATTTTTTGATAGTCAAGTAAAAATGCCGAAATGCCAGCATGTCAAGTCAGCCTTCATCTTGTGGTTTATCCATTGTTTGCCTTCCTAGGTATTATTTCTCGTTGGTACAATATAAATAATTAAAAGCATGTCCATATAAGAAAAGGGAAAGGAAGTTGTCTGAATTCATGCTTTCTCAGCCTCCTTTCTCCCCCACCCGCCATCCCTACCCCCCATCCCTATCAGTTAATTTGTCTTCAGTAATTAAAACTATCTGGTCACCAGGGTACAGCTGACTAACATATCTTCCATGCTTTTTAACTCCCCATAATGGAGAATTAATCAGTTTTGTTAAGAAATTATCAGCAAAGCATTAAGACTGGCTTCAAGTTTCTCACCAATTTAAAGCTTAAGAAAAATCATCTTCCTTAAATTTGTCTCTTTCATCAGAGCCTTTCTAATTTATATACTTATTACTAGTAAAGAGAGTATCTTGTTAGTTCTATCTTTTAATGAGTATGAATTTGTTGCTGTTACCTTTTGAGAGAAGAAATTCATCTAAAGCCTTATAGACTTAATTTTGTCAGGAGTGCAGTATATTTTATTGACTGGTATTTTTCTGTTCTTTTGTTAACTATTTTTATTTCTTTCAAAAATTTATAGCACTTGAAATTATTGCAAAGAATCAGTCTATTTTGACAAATTGAAAAATATTTTCATAAGGATTTAATGTGGGGGAAGATTCTTGACATGAATTTTACATTGAATGTCCACTAATATATTTAACTTTTTGTAGATCCTGTAATTTTCCATTTGCTGTACAGTCCTAAGTCAGATATGTCTCACACTAAGCATCTGAAAAGTTTAAGTACAGTTTAGTATCACATTTACTTGAGCACATTTGTGTTTTTGTCTCATTTACCATTGTGGAATCTGCTTTCGTATATTAGAAATGGTTGTTCTAATACCAGAAGACAGAATAATATTACCTTTTACCTTCTAGGCTAAAACTAATTAATTTCATAGCATGGACAGGAGAAATTCACATCAGTTAGATATACACCAGTTAATGGTGTAACAAAGTATCAAAAATGAGTAAGTATATTTGGTTACAATGAATCAGATAAGAAAATTGCTCATTAAAAATTGTTCTTTTATTTGATCAAAATTATTTGAAGTGTTACATACATAATCCTATTTTGTCCTCATATATATCTGCTTTTAGAGCTTAAAAGAGAAAAAACGTCAGTAGATTGTTTAGATGGAGACCAAAGCAAACTTCTGTTATCCCTAGACATAACTCAAATTGTTACTGTAGTCTGTTGAAGTACCTGGCCCACTTGAGGTATGTTCTAATACTTGTAATTCAAACCTTAGCCCATTGAGAATCACTTAGCGAACGTTTTCTAAAAATTGCCAGATATATAAAACATGTGTATGCATATACTATATACATGTGTATAAACACCCATATACAAGTTGTACTTCAACAAGTTCATGGAAAAATAAAATCAGAAGATAATATGCATCTTTCCATGAACTTTTTGGAGATTCCTCATATATATGAAGATACCTAAGATACCTAAATAAAATCAAGGTAGTCAAGAAGATAAATGACTAAAATAGAATAGAGATGTCTCTACCTCCTGAGGTAAAGTTATTAGTTTGACTAATAAGATAAAGCCCTGTAGGCATGATTCTTTGATGTCTTATCCATATAATGGATACCACTCAGTTCTTCTCTCCAAAAGGTAGTAGTAAATGCTTGATTATTCGGGAGCATAGATGGGATATTATAGATATTAAGTTTTCATTACATGTTAAATTTTCCTTTGTACAAAATTAAGTCACTGATTGGCTGCAAAGTATTGTTGTTTATTCTACACCAAACAACAGATCATTGTTTTGTACACATGTACTTCTGCCTTTTTCCCATATACAACTGGAGAAACCTATGTGTGCTACCATAAAGTTAATATTAGTCACAGTCTGCCATACTATTTGCTGTCAAATTATTGAGGTATCAGTGGAAGTGGCATGACAACTACTCTGATTGGAAACAGATGAATAGATTTTATGCAGGCTCAAGGGCATTATACAGACTAGGCTAGAGTTGTAGGTCATGTGCAAAGCAAAAGTCACAAATAGTAAACGGAATGTTGAAACTCCTTTAGGGTGGTGCCTTTGCACCATTTCGGTATAACTAGCACAACCAATTTTTCCTTTAGAGTTGAAACAGATTATAGTTTGGTTGTGCACCAAATAAAGTACGTAGGGTAGCTTATATTTAGCAGCTACATTATATGAAAATATGAATCATTAAATGCTAACATAAAGCGGTTGGTCTTTTTTTTTTTTTTTTAAAGGCACAAAGTGGAAGAGTGGGAGATAAGATTGGAGCCAAATTAGAGAAGGTTTTATCACCAGGCTGAGGCCTTTTATGTATTTTGGTAGGAAGTAGGGAAACACTGAAGTTCATTATGAGAGCTACGCTTTCATAAAAGGAATCTCATAAGTGTGACTAGGCTAAGTTGGAAAGAAGAGACTGGAGGTAGAGAGGCCAGTTAGTAGATCCTTGTAATAGTCCATGCTTGATATAACAAGGACCTAAGCTAGAGTAATCAGACTGGAGATGAGGAAGAAGGACAGGAAAGCAGGAGTATACAATTCTAGAGGAATAATGGATAAGACCAACACATGACTTAAAAGGATTTAGAGAAAAGAGGTAAAAAAAAAAAAAAAAAAGCAGAGACAGAATGATTTAGAGATTCTTGATGTTAGGAAACTATCGTAATTATCTGCATTAAAGAAAGCAAGAACAAATAGGGAAGAAGAGTTAGGAGGGTAAGGTACTTTAGCCTTTTGCTTATCCCAGGATTGAACAGGTAATATGTAAAAATTATACAATAAGAATGCCAGCCTTTTAACTTCTCCCATATTCTTTCTCCTATACTATAGTTGTTTCTCAAGAGTCTAAAGCTCTTAGCCAGTTCTAAGAACAGTAGCAGGTTGTTTTTTCATTGAAGTACTAGATTGCTTCTAGGTACAAATAATTGACCAGCTAGAGCCTAATCTTGTATGTCTGCTCCAAATATCTAGAACAAAGCAACTGAAGATTACCAAGTTTAATCTGACTTCAACTAGAAATATGAACCCTCAATAGAAAAACCGAGGTAGTGGAACTCTTGCTGCTTGATTTCCAGCTAAAGCCTTTGCATTACAGTGAAGCTAAGGTGCAGAGCATAAAGTCTTTTGCTTTTATTAGTCTTGCTGCCTTAGACTTAGCAAAAGAAGTCCATGTGCTAAATTTAGGGATGACCAGAGTCCCAGGCAAGTACTCATGTATCGTTTCTTAATTTTTATTCAGAGATACTATAGTAACCGGATTTATTATTACTTTTGAAAATGTGCTAAAATGACTTTTTTAATCATAAAACTTGGTGGTTGATCTTAGAAGATCCAGAATATGCTTATTTAAAGGTGTTGATTAATTATACACAATGAACACTTCCCAAAGTAGTGATTCTTACTTTTAAATCATTTAAAATCTTAGATTATTTCATTTTTGATTTGTATACTGTATATGGTACCAAAATTACAGAGGCCATATATATAGTATTTAGTTCTTATGTATCACATGGCTAAAAATTATATATATGTAATCTCAGCTCTATCTCATAGCATAGTTTACTTAAGAAGTATCGTTCAGTAGGTGGGATTCAAACCTTGTTGTACATCATGTTAACTGGAGATTTAGTTCTGTAATTCAAGAGTGATTGTATTGCCTAGGGGATGCTAATTCTGCCAATCTAGTGCTAATCTGTAGACTTGTTTTGGGGACTTGCTGTAGTAGGCCATTGTTATAACCAAAGAAAAAATGGAGATGTTTTGATACTGTGGTGTATAATCACAAATGAAGACAATGAAAAGAAGAAAAAAAATTGTATAACTTCTTAGATGACTTGTAACTAGATGAAGTACTATTTGTTGTTGACTTTCCTTAACTCTTTATTTTACTTAAAATCACTTTTGTCTAGGTTAGTAACACTGAAGAAATCACCTTTGAAGCACTGAAGAAAGCAATTGGTGAGCTATTTTGCACTTATTAGCTCTCCTAATATTTAACTCATCTTTATCTTGGTAGTTTTTTAGATACCAGAATAAGTAGAGGCAGCATGGCAAAAAACAAAACAAAACAAAAATTGTTGGTTTCTATATAAATACATCATTTATTTAGCTACAACTTTTAGGCTTTTAAAATTGTCTTATCTCATCATATCAGATCCTTTTTTTTTTTTTTTTTTTTTTGTGACCGGTAAGGGGATCGCAACCCTTGGCTTGGTGTCGTCCGCACCGTACTCAGCCAGTGAGCACACCGGCCATCCCTATATAGGACCCGAACCCACGGTGGGAGCGCCACTGCGCTCCCAGCGCCGCACTTTCCCGAGTGAGCCATGGGGTCGGCCCCAGATTTTAATTCATACAAAGTTATAGCATTAGTATAAAAAAGACATTTATTATTTTGCTGTCTCAAACTTTGGCCAGATCATATATTAAGATTAAAAAATAAAAATAAATCCCTTTTCAAATTATGGAAAAGACTAAGATGATATGGTTTCCAGTGACCCCATGGCTTGGTGTCGTCCGCACCGCACTCAGCCAGTGAGCACACCGGCCATCCCTATATAGGACCCGAACCCACGGTGGGAGCGCCACTGTGCTCCCAGCGCCGCACTTTCCCGAGTGAGCCATGGGGTCGGCCCCAGATTTTAATTCATACAAAGTTATAGCATTAGTATAAAAAAGACATTTATTATTTTGCTGTCTCAAACTTTGGCCAGATCATATATTAAGATTAAAAAATAAAAATAAATCCCTTTTCAAATTATGGAAAAGACTAAGATGATATGGTTTCCAGTGACCCCATCTGTATTTCTTGTTGTTGGTTTGTTTGTTTTTGTTTTTTGTTTTTGATGGCTGGCTGGTAAGGGGATCTGAACCCTTGACATTGCTGTTATAACACCATGCTCTAACCAATTGAGCCATGAGCTAACTAGCCAGCCTGCCCATCTGTATTTCTGTTATTCCACTTAGTATCAAAATTTAGCTTAGCAAATATTTTATTTAGTAGTACCTCATATGTGCAAGGGCTCACTTACAAATAAAAGAACTGTCCTTCAGGAAGGACCTTGAAGTTGTTTGACTTGTAGGAAGTTACCATTCTCCTGCCTTTTTTGGTGGTGGGTGGGGAGAGACAGAGATACTCTATGAAAGAGGGTTGTGTGCTATGTAGTTTTAACTGTTAGATTTAAAATTTTTTAGCCTTAAAAGACATTTAAAGAATATTATGCCTTTTGCTTTTTTTCTTATGAAAGTAGCCCTGTAAGTTATCCTTATTTTTGGTTGATAAATCATTAGCTATTTTAGTCATTGGCAGGGTTCTGTAAAATTCTATAGTCCTTTTAATGAGTCTTTATTATAAACATGTATATAGATACCAATGGAATGGAAGAACAGGAAAAGGAAAAGAGGCGTCTTGTGATAGAGAAATTCCAGAAAGCACCTTTTGAAGAAATAGCAGCACAGTGCGAATCCAAAGTGAGTGAACAAATGGCGACGAGGGTTGGGGTGGAGTGTGGTTTTGTGGAAATTATTTCTCAGTGATTGGCTGGTAAGTTCCAAGCTTAAGACTTGGAACAGAACACAAGGAAATGTATGAGACTGGGACTGAAAACTGAAGGCATACTTAGGAAGCCTAGATAATTTCTTTGTGTGAGTAAGCTGATGGAAATGGCAGATAGTAAACTAAATATTAATGATTTTTATTGCTTTGACACTTTTTTTTTGCAGTGGTTTCCAGTGATTTAGCTATGAGTACTTTGCTTTGTGTGTTTTTTGGTTTGTTTTTAGCAGTGAGACTAGGAAAGGAAAAAAAGAAAAAACAAATTCTAATAAATGAGACAGATCAGACCAAAACATTGAAGCATTCTGTACTGTCAGCTTAATAGTTACAGTTATGCTTTGTCCTTTAAATTACATTTGTATTATTATATATGGGTATTTTGAAAACAACAAAATCCTTTCTTAACATTTTTTTTTCTTTGCAGGCGAATTTGCTTCATGATAGACTTGCTCAAATACTGGAACTCACCATTCGGTAAGGTTTTTACTACAACAGCAATAATACAGCAAAAACAAAATAGAAACTGTTAGACCCTTGTTAATTTGTGGCTGATTATGTTGAAGTAATTGTGCTTTTCATTTAGGATAAACACACGATTATATAGGTGACCCTTTTCTTAGTAGTCACTCTGTTTGTTTGGTTGAGTCTTATACCATTACTTGTCCAGTTGTTGTCTAGCTTTCCTAGCTTCCTTTTTGAGATCAATCATTCCTTTATAATGGTCCCATAAGGACATCTGGATAATCTGGAAGACCCACATTCTAAAGTTACGTTTAATCAGGAAATTGTGTGGCTTCCAGTCAAGATGGCAGAGTAGACAGTTCCTAGCGTCGATCTTGCCCACAAATCAACCAATTTGCAACTATTAGAAAGCAACAACAGGAGGCCCGAGAGCCACACTGAAAGAGGCAGGAGCCGCATGCCTCGGGACGCCCAGCCCAGGCCAGTGCCTGCTGCCCAGAAAGGCCTGAGAGCTGCCGGGCCTACCTGCCCCAAGTCAGCCATGCTGGAACAGGCAGGAGCTATGGGACCTCCAGTCCAGGTCAGTCCCTGCCGCTTAGGCCCAAGAGCTACCAGGCCCACGCACCCTGAGTCAGCCACACCAGAACAGGCAGGTGCTGTGGGATCCCCAGCCCAGGACAGTGCCAACTGCCCAGAGAGGCCTGAGAGCCTCTGGGCCCATATGCCCCGAGTTAGCTGCACCAGAACAGGGAAGCACCCCCTGTCCAGGCGAGTCCCCACCGCCCAGAGAGGCCTGAGAGCTACTGGGTCCACACACCCCAACTCAGCTGCATCGGAGCAGGCAGGTGCAGTGGGACCCCCAGCCCAGGCCAGTACATGCCACCCAGAGAAGAGAAAGAGCCACCACGCCCACGCACCCTGAGTCAACTGCACCAGAACAGGCAAGCACCTTGGGACCCCCAGACCAGGCTAGTCCTTGCTGCCCAGAATTAGCAGTCCCTTCAGGATCCAGGCTAGACCTCAGGGTGGAACTAGTGGACCATGATACTCCCGGCCACAATGAGTAAACACCAAAGGAAAGATAACAGAAATATGAAAAATCAAGAAAATAAATCACCATCAAAGGAAAATAATAATTCTCAAGCTCTAGATCCTATAGAACAGGAAGTCCTTGAAATGACTGACAAGGAATTTAGAGCAACAATTCTAAGGAAACTAAGTGAGTTACAAGAAAACTCAGACAACACAATGAAATGAGAAAACATATACAGGACCTGAAAGAAGAAATGTACAAACAAATCAGTGCCCTGAAAAGGAATGTAGCAGAGTTTGTGTAGCTGAAGCATTCATTCAACAAAATAAAAAACACAGCAGAGACATACTCAGATGAATACTCAATGAACCAGCAGGCTAGAACAAGCAGAAGAAAGAATTTCTGACCTTGAAGACAGGCTGTCTGAATTCACACAGGCAGACCAGAAAAAAAGAAAAAAGAATTTTAAAAAATTGAAGAAAATCTAAGAGAGACAACAACATTATGCACTTAGATATCCAAATCATGGGTATTCCAGAAGGAGGAGAAAAAGGAAATGGCATTGAAATCATATTCAACAAAATAATGGTAGAAAACTTCCCAGGTATAGAGAAAGTCACAGATCTTCAGATTCAGGAGGCCCAAAGATCCCCAAACATATTCAGCCCAAAAAGGTCCTCTCCAAGGCATGATATAGTCACACTGGTAAAACTCAAAGACAAAGAGAATCTTAAAAGATGCAAGAGAGAAGCGGCAAGTCACCTGGAAGGGAGTCCCAATCAGACTCACATCAGACTTTTCATCAGAAACCCTAAAAGCCAGAAAAGAATGGGATGATATCTTCAAAATACTAAAGGACAAAAATAGCCAGCCAAGAATACTTTACCCAGCAAGGATATCTTTCCAAAGCAGGAGGCCCAAAGATCCCCAAACATATTCAGCCCAAAAAGGTCCTCTCCAAGGCATGATATAGTCACACTGGTAAAACTCAAAGACAAAGAGAATCTTAAAAGATGCAAGAGAGAAGCGGCAAGTCACCTGGAAGGGAGTCCCAATCAGACTAACATCAGACTTTTCATCAGAAACCCTAAAAGCCAGAAAAGAATGGGTTGATATCTTCAAAATACTAAAGGACAAAAATAGCCAGCCAAGAATACTTTACCCAGCAAGGATATCTTTCCAAAAAAAATCAATAGAGAAACAGAAGATCTAAACAATACTTTAGACCAATTGGACTTGGCAGATATCTACAGAACATTCCATCCAAGAACCTCAGAATATTCATTCTTTTCATCAGCACATGGAACATTCTACAGGATAGACCACATGTTAGGTCACAAAGCAAGTCTTACCAAATTCAAAAAAATTGTAATTATTCTATGTCTTTTTTCAGATCACAATGGATTAAAATTAGAAATCAGTAACAAATGAATCTCCGGAAACTATACAAACACATGGAAATTAAACAACAATCTACTTAATGACATATGGGTTCAAGAAGAAATTAAACAGGAAATCAAAAATTTTGAAACTAATGAAAATAATGATACATCATACCAAAACCTGTGGGATACTGCAAAAGCAGTACTAAGGGGAAATTTATCACATTAAATGCTTACTTCAGAAGAATGGAAAGATGGCAAATGAACAACCTAACACTTCATGTTAAAGACATAGAAAAACAAGAACAATCCAAATCCTAAGTTAGTAGATGGAAAGAAATAATTAAGATCAGAGCAGGACTAAATGAGATAGAAACCTGAAAAATGATACAAAAGATCAATGAAACAAAAAGTTGGTTTTTTGAAAAGATAAAAAAAATTGACAAACCTTTAGCAAGGCTAAGAAAAGAAGAGAGAAGACCCAAATAACAAAAATTAGAAATTAAAAAGGTGATATTAGAACTGATACCTCAGAAATACAAGGAATCATTAGAGATTACTATAAACAACTATATGCCAACAAATTTGAAAATCTGGAGGAAATGGATAAATTTCTGAACACATACAAACTACCAAAACTGAGGCAAGAAAATATAGAAAATCTGAACTGACCAATAACAATAAAACATTGAAGCTGTTATCAGAAGGCTCCCAACAAAGAAAAGCCTGGGACTGTACAGGTTCACTGCAGAATTCTACCAAACCTTCAAAGAGGAATTGATACCAGTTCTCTACAAACTATTCCAAAAGATCAAAACAGAGGCCATTCTCCCAAACTCATTCTATGAGGCAAATATCACCCTGATTCCAAAACCAGACAAAGATACATCAAAAACAGAAAGCTACATGACAGTACCTTTGGATATAGACACAGAAATCCTCAATAAAATACTAGCTAATAGAATATAACAACAAATACACAAAATCATACACCGTGATCAAGTGGGATTCATCCCAGTGATGCAAGGTTGATTCAACATAAGCAAATCAGGGGCTGCTGGCCTTTGGCTCACTTGGGAGAGTGTGATGCTTGCTGATAACACCAAGGCCATGGGTTCACATTTCTATATAGGGATGGCCAGTTCACTCTTGGGAGAGCGTGGTACAGACAACATATGCAGATCAATAAATGTGATACACCACATCAATAAAAGCAAAGACAAAAACCATGTGATCATCTCTGTGATCATCTCTGTAGATGCTGAAAAGGCATTTGACAAAATTCAACATTTGTTCATGAGAAAGATTCTCTACAAGTTAGGTATAGATGGAAAGTATCTCAACACAGTTAAAGCCATATATGATAAGCCCGCTGCCAATATCATCCTGAAGGATGATATTGATAAGAACAGGAACTAGACAAGGATGCCCATTCTCACCACTCCTATTCAACGTAGCGTTGGAAGTATTAGCCAGAGCAATCAGAGAAGAGAAGGAAATAAAGGGCATCCGATTTGGAAAAGATGAAGTCAAACTATCCCTGTTTGCAGATGATATGATCTTATATATTAAACAGCCTAAAACCTCTATAAAAAAATCTTTTAGAGTTGATAAATGATTTCAGCAAAGTTACAGGATACAAAATCAACACACAAAAATCAATAGCATTTCTATACTACAACAGTGAACATGCAGCAAAAGAAACCAAGAAAGCTAGCCCATTTACAATAGCCATCAAAAAAATAAAATACTTAGGAATAAATTTAACCAAGGATATGAAAAATCTCTTTGAAGAAAACTGTAAACCACTGTTGAAATTAAAGAGTACACAAGATGGAAAGATATACCATGCTGTTGGGTTGGAAGAGTTAACATTGTGAAAATGTCTGTATTGCCCAAAGTGAACTACAGACTTGATGCAATCCCCATCAAAATTCCAATGACATTTTTCTCAGAAATGGAAAAGGCTGTCCAGACATTTATATGGAATACCAAAAGACCGTGCATAGCCAAAGCAATCCTGAGCAAAAAAAAATAAAGCTGGAAGCATAACACTATCTGACTTTAAACTATACTACAAAGCTATAATAACCAAAACAGCATGGTACTGGCATAAAAACAGTCACACAGATCAATGGCATAGAATAGAGAACCCAGAAATCAACCCATACACCTACAGCCATCAGATCTTTGACAAAGGCACCATTCTACACACTGGGGAAGAGACTGCCTCTTCAGCAAATGGTGCTGGGAAAACTGGATAGTCATAAGCAGGAGAACGAAACTAGAACCGTAGCTCTCACCATATACCAAAATCAACTCAAAATGGATTAAAGAATTAAATATACATCTTGAAACAATAAAACTCCTTAAAGAAAACATAGGGGAAATACTCCAGGAAGTAGGAGTGGGTACAGACTTCATGAATATGACTCCCAAAGCACAGGCAACCAAGGAAAAATATAACCAATGTGATTATATCCAACAAAAAAGCTTCTGCACAGCAAAGGAAACAATCAACAGAGTACAAAACCAACAGAGCAGCAGAAAATATTTGGAAAATATACATCTGACAAAGGACTAATATCCAGAATATACAAGGAACTCAACTTTACAGCAAAAAAAAACAA